CCCGCCGCCAAAAAAAAAAAAAAGAAATCCTAAAAAAACTTCTGGAATCATAATGGCGGCTCTCAGTCTCAGAAAGCGGAGAGAAGCTATCGAGATTGTCGCCTGAGTCGTCTGCTAGTCTGCGGCGGCGCGGACAGTGGAGCTATCGATCTTCCTCTCTACATCTGGCTTGTTCGTTACAACCAGCCTGAGGTGTGACAGCCTCTCTGTGTCTCACGCAAAACTGCACCAGTCATTGTCAACCAGTTTGGTAGTCTCTGTATTAGAAATAAAGAAATAATATTATACCGTAGTCTCCATTTGCTGTCTCTTGTGAGCAACGTACTGAGCTTTTTAACAGCTCCGAGCACGATGTGTTCTGTCACAACTCAGTGAATGGCACGTACCTGATATCTAATCTCACGAGGAGCACAATGTTAATGAGCTGTGTAATTAGATCGGCGATGTGTTGATATGAGCAAGGTAAAGGAGGATATTATTGATTCTTGATGACAATATGGCCTAACTACATCATCGGCGCTCGGAATGTTTGAGCACTCATCAGCCTGTCTCGATCTGTGAGCCATGAGTCATTTTCTAGCGGAATATCCTGTTCCCCGCGTTATTGTATGGTAAAAGAGCTTTGAAGACCTTGTTTTAGTTTTACAGTCGCAGTTTCGAGAGAGAAATCCCCTGAGACGTTCCGATCAGTTGGAAGGCTGAGCAGGAAAATCTCGTGTGCCCCAGCACTGATAAAATGGAATGGTTTATCCTAGGCACCAGGATTGTTGTTGGAGGCAATTGTTCCTCGCAGAGAGTGTTTTCATTCTGAAATCTCGATTGAAGCACAGAAACTGATTTTGGAGGACCAGAGGACCAGATCAGAATGAGATATGACTGACCGCTCGTCTCAGAATTGAGGGCGTATTGGTGCAAGGGCCATCAAAGTAGCATTTGATCATCCTCGATTATACGAGGTTGAGAGTTTGAGTTCGCGGCGGGTTTTTTTTTAATCTTCCCAAAAGGCCAAGATGATGCGTGGGTAAGTAGAATCAAATTGTCTTGAATATCCTCTATTATTATTAGGGCCTTTACCATCTATTTTTTTGTTACAGTTTTTTTGTTTGTTTGTTTGTTCATTGTAATCACCATTCGTATTTGATCTTTATGAATAGGAAAGGAAATAAAAACAACCGTTCTGTTCCACCTTTCTGGAAAGGTTTATTTTCATGGCATGCACAACCGAACGATCATTACAGCAGTGTCCTCATGGATTACAAAATGTAAAGCTTACACAAGAAAAGCAAGAAACTCGTACAAATTATAAACTCGTCCTTGCTGGTCGGTCGCAACATTGTGGCCATGTGTTTTAAGTGTCATGCTCAGTGGCACTCACCTTTATGCCTATCGTTGGAGACCAATTGTTTAAAATGGCCATGTGAGTTCACCCAGGACTCCACCAATGGTCCACGTTATAGCTTCTGAAACGAATCAGCTGAAAGACGTAGTCATAAAGCTTCAATTATCATAATTGATCACCCCATGTTAAGAATAAATCAATGCCTGCTGTTTTGTTTTCTGTTCTTTAGCTTCGACACGATTGAATCTATGAATGCTGACGAGGTGCTGGTGAAAAGGAAAAGAGGGACCAAGCGCTATATGGTCGCTGCTGCTGTCATTGGGGGTCTTTTCTTCATTGTAGGCATAATGATTGGATACTTCAGTCACAAAGCAGAGGCTGAAGGAGCTGGACGTCAGAAGCCGAACAAACGGTGAATCATCATCATCATCATCATCATCATCATCATCATCATCATCATCATCATCATCATCATCATCATCATCATCATCCTCATCATAGCCATCACCATCACCACTACCACAACCATTCTCTTTGTCACTCCTCCGTCCCCTCCCCCAAAAAAGGGGAAAAAAGCACCCGCTTATCTTCACTTGCTATCCATCAAACGTTTTCTGCATGGCAAATACGCAGCCTCCAGCAAATACTATCTTAAGAGGTAGCTATGCAAACAGATACATGTTCTGTTTACAAGCAATCACGCCGTAAAGAGTAAGAACTGAAGCCCCCCCCCTTTTCTTCCTCCTCTATGTCTAAGTTAACTTGACTGTATATTGAAGTCTTGTCCTCTGTCTTCTTCCCAGACTATCATAACACATGAAGATAATTATGAAATGTTGTTTTCTCACAGCCTCGAACCTGATGAATTCATCATTGAAAAAGTGAGCAAGGAATTCTTGGATTCAAAACTCAGGTAGGTCCTACGTATCGTGTCACTTTTGTACAAACGCAAGATGTGTATGCTAAAAGTTACTTTTCTTGTTTATTTCTTGCTATCGAGTTTTAAGGGAAAGTCTGAATAACAGCACTGTACTTGCATATTGGCATTAATTGGGCTTTTCTTTTTAAGAAAGGAAAATAGACATTAGTTTATACATTTTCTACCTATTATTATGGTTAGTTGACAAAGCTGGCCATGAACAACAGTTAGTCGCAGACTGCTTTGTTTATAACATTCCTTTTATATTGTTTCTGTAATTTGACCTTGGTTATGACCATTGATATTTAATATAATTATTTTTCTGTGCTAGGATGTTTTCTTCCAAGCCTCGACTAGCAGGCACCAAAGCTGGTACAGAAATAGCAGAGACCATTAAATCTTTGTGGTCAGAAAGTGGACTGGATGAAGTTCATATGAAAACATACAATGTTCTTCTGTCACTTCCGAATGCATCAGAGCCAAACATGGTGAGACTTTTCACATTTTGATGTAGGCCTATGTCTGTTGTATGACAAAGTTGTGAGCAGATATGTAAATCACTGTTTCTGTTTTACTTGTTTCGAGATCATAATAACGACCCTGATAGGCCTGTACGCAAGTGTTATATGGTTTGTTGCATCCAGGGTTCTACACTGGAGGAATTCTTATAATTTTTCTTTGATTTGTCATTTTGGACAATAACAAGAGTTGATTTGGGTAGGTGCGCTATCTTTTTAACACTTTGCAGTCACTTGACGCAATAATGCAACAGTGAAAATTATCCCTTCCGGTCACCTGCGCCAGGCCCAGTTAGAAGTTTGTTGCAATCACTCTCCTGCAGAGTGACCAGATGAGGTATTTTGTACTGCTGACTGTGTGACTGCTAAGTGATAAATGACACCCCCACTTCATCCCGGCTTTTACTGATGTTTGAGGAGATTGTGTTTGTCTATGAGATATAATAGACAAATAGAAAAAGAATTGGGGGAGAGAGAGAGAGAGAGAGAGAGGGGGGAGGGAGAGGGAGAGGGAGAGAGAGAGAGGGGGGAGGGTGGAAAGGGGAAGAGAGAGAGAAGAGAAAGACACAGATAGATATTCTGACAGGCAGACTGATAGAGATAAAATTATCATCATAAGAACCTGCATGTGTTGTGGAACGAAGTGTAGATTCATTATTATTCTGTATATTTATTTACCTATGTCTCACAGGTTGAGGTGATAAACAAGACAACAGGTGAGCCAGTGTTTACATCACAGCTGTATGAAGCAGCCCTTCGTCCAGAAGACAATACAACTCTAATAGTGCCTTTTGCTGCCTACTCCCCTGCTGGAATTGTTGAGGTTAGTATATTCATTAATGAATTAACATTTTTCTGCAATAGTGCTGCTTATGTTTATCTTTATAAGGCCACCATGATTATTATGAAGAGATGAAATTAGCAGCTTTTCTGATTTTTCTCACTTTAAGAAAATGCTTACCATTTCCTGTGATGGTTAAATTAAACACTTTAGGAGGAAGTGCTTATATAATCATTGTGAAGTTCTCTTTTGTTGCAAAGTCATTTGCAGCCTGCTTACTCCCAAAATGCTCAGTTTGATTCCACCAATATACATCTCTTAATGATATCTTCTGGAACAGGTAAATTATTATTTGTGAGATGTGCTGACAAAATGAGTTACTTTTCACGATCCAAGAATTGAGATATTGGCTGAAAATCGACACTGGGGTCAGATTTATAGATTTTCAATTGATTCCATTTTGTTCAAGTTTACAATGTCTTTTACTATTCCAAACTCACAAATTGTACAAACTTCACCTATCAAGTTGATGTATCAATTTCTATAATGCTCAAATCTGAGAAGTAACTCCTTTTGTCAGCACACCTCACATTTCATTGTGAGTTAGAAATTTTGAGAAACAGGATCTGAAGGTTTTAAGTGCCTGCTGTAATTTGTCGCTTTATATTAACCTACTACACTTCTCTTCAGACTATAATTTTGAAGGGTAGCAAGGCTTAAAGGTTGTACCTTATAACTTCATCAAAGCAGCTTCTAGTGTGCAGCCTTTCATTACCGCTGATAGGGAATCATTGATTTGTTGTTTTGTCTACAAAAGGTGAAACAAATGCAAAAATATTTTTAAAACAAATTTCAGCTAACCTTTGATGCTTACCCTAATGTTACAAAAGGTGTGGAGAAGGACAACTGTTTTAGCATGTGACTTTTCAAATTAAATTTTGAGCCAGGCATTTTTGCACGTTTTGTTATTAGCATAGATCTAGATATTGTTTGAAAAAAATATGTGTAATTTTTTTTCCTTTTTTACCTTTTAGGGGAATATTGTTCATGTCAACTATGGAACTACGGAGAACATTGAGAGTATGCTACAAAATCTAACCTTTGATCTAACTGGAACAATTTTCCTTGCCAAATATGGACAGATCTCCCCTAAACAAAAGGTGAGTAGCTGCTATGTCTCTAGGCACTTATCTGCTTCAACCATAAATTTGTTGACTTAACTTACCCTTTGATCCTTCATCTTTGTATTATTTTTTTAGCAGATGCTTTTCTCAGATACTCTCTACTCTCCACGCTCTCTGGGTGTTTTTTTCTCTCTCTCCCATCTCTTGCTCTTTCTTTCTCCATTCTCTCTCTTGCCCCCCCCCTCCTTCTCTCTCTCTCTCTCTCTGTCTCTCTGTCTCTCTCTCCCCCTCTCTCTCTCTCTCTCTCCCCCCTCTCTCTTCTCTCTCTCTCTCTTCTCTCTCTCTCTTCTCTTTCTCCTTTCTCTCTCTTAGCCCCCTCTGTTTTCCCCACTCCAAGGGTCTGTCTATTAGTTTGTCTTTGTTACTTTCTATCTATCTCTTTCTATCTCTCTTTTTTAATCTTCTTCTCTTTCCATGTCCCTCGGTCACTCTCTCTCCCCTCCCTTTTTTGTCTTTGTCACTGATTGTGTCAGTATCTATCTGTATCTGTCTGTCTGTCTGTCTGTCTGTCTGTCTGTCTGTCTGTCTGTCTGTCTGTCTGTCTGTCTGTCTGTCTGTCTGTTTTCTCTTAGTGTCTGTATTTTATTTTCCCTCTTTCACTCTTTCTCTGTCTCTCTCTGTCTCTTTCTCTCTCTCTCTCTCTCTCTCTCTCTCTCTCTCTCTCTCTCTCTCTCTCTCTCTCTCTCTCTCTCTCTCTCTCTCTCTCTCTCTCTCTCTCTCTTTCATTCCCTCTCATTTTCTCTCTTCACCTCAGTTCCCCATTCTTTCTCTCTTTCTGTTTCTTTCTGTTTCTCTATAGCTTTCACCATCTCTTTGTCTCCTTGTCTCTCTGTCATTCTTCGTCTTTCACCTTTTCACTGTCTCTGCATGTCATTCCCTCCTCCTCTTTTTCTTTTCTCTGTTTCTCTCTTCCTTTCTCCCTGGCTCTCATGTTTTCCTCTCACCCCACCCCCTCCTCTCTCTCTCTCTCTCTCTCTCTCTCTCTCTCTCTCTCTCTCTCTCTCTCTCTCTCTCTCTCTCTCTCTCCCTCTCCCTCTCTCTCTCTCTCTCTCTCTCTCTCTCTCTCTCTCTCTCTCTCTCTCTCTCTCTCTTTCCCTCTCTCATTGGAAGATGTTATGATAACTTTACCCATATAAAGTAATTATTTGATCATTTTGAATGTCCAAGGAGCACTAACTGGCAGAATTCACCATGACCACAGGTTCAAAATGCAGAATTGTATGGTGCCAGTGCTTTACTCCTGTACCCAGATCTGGCTGATACAAATGGGCGAGACAATGCAAATGAGAAAGTATACCCAGACTCGTGGCTGATGCCTGACTCTGGAGTGAGAAGAGAAATGCTCCTCGATAAATATGGAGATCCAGACACTCCAAACTATCCATCAACAGGTATCTATTTGAGCTGAGATCCTTTTCCTTTTAAAGCTATAAACTCTTGTTGTTTTTACTCATGTCTAATTTTTGTCTGTGTTTTTTTAACCATATCAGAACAGTAATGATAAATGTAAGCCGGCATTCACCCCAGTTTTAACACAGTGAAGACTGTTGAACAGATAGGACCTCTGAACTCAAATACAAAACATTGGATGCTGTATAAATCTGACTTCCCTAGCAAACTTAGAGATTTGAACTGTTATCATCCAAACCTTATTTGAGTTCTATATTCTTCATTTATCAGGACATCATTTTACCTGGTTCAATATTGTTTATCATATATAAAAATAGATAAGAATTGTCTTGATTCATAGATATATCGGAAGTATTATAGCACATTTCTTAGAAGCGAAATAGTTAATAGGAACTTTATTCAAGTGAAATTTTGTGTACTCAGATTTCTGTCTGTTATTGCAGAATATGCTCATTACATAAATCCAGAGACAAGAAATCTACCGAAGATCCCATGTCAACCAATCAGCTACCATGATGCAGTGTCTTTGCTTGAGTAAGTGTACAAAGATTCTAGTTGAGCTGCCTGTATTATCTATCTTTTAATTACTTGAACTGAGATTATGAAAGGCATTTACTAAATTTTGGAACATGATGTGTGGGAAAAATGAATCAATACTGGCAACATACTCATGTTATTATGAAGATACCATTGCCAGGCTTCGAAAGAGCAAGTATGGTGTTTAAAAGGATGAACACATCTGTCTGATATTAAATTACGTCAGTGTTGGTTGTCTAATAATCTGTTTACTTCTGATCAGCTTAGGTAATTTTAAAAAGTCTTAGCAGTGATATCAATTATAGCCCCCGTGATCACTTTATAATGGGACATTGAAGTATACATTTAAAAAATGATATTTTCTCCTCTTAATTTGTGCATGGTACACTAAATTCAAAATTCAAGATAACAGGGATGACACATTTATTAGACTTACTGATATTTCATATTTTTGCAAATTTGGATGCTTTGAAATGTAGTAACATGTATATTTGCAAATTTTAAAATGTAAGTTTCTCCACTTTCCATCCCCAAATTGAAATTAACCCACAAAAATGACATAATTCACTTGCTTAAATTATAGCTGCTAAACTATGAAATTTATGTACTTGATATAATCAGTGGAATATATGTTTACATTTTGAGTTAATTTCAGCATCTTTTTAGATTATTTATTTACACTAGGTACCACAAAGCAAATTTTTAAAGTGCTTTGATCTAGCGTATATTCAGTAGTGGTATAAAATTTCCTTCAATATGTTTTGCTTTCTCAGAGTATTGACTGGATCAGCCGCCCCTCAGTATGGAGTTGTGTCAGATAATGGAAATGGATCGGCTTTGTAAGTGTATTTTAATTCATTGTAAATGTAGCATTTTTTCATTGTAGCATTTATCGTTGATGTTATTTGCAAACTGGACTCATGTGGTGCTGGCCCAGAAAAAGCTTTTAACTGAATGCGTCCATAACTATCATGTTTTAAAGTAAGTGCTAGAACTTTTATTACCTATATATATATAGGATTCGTTTTGAACAGTTGAAAAGAGCAATCCAATTTCATGCTACTGCTTCCTGCAGGTAGATAGACATATTCAGGTAGTACTTACAATAATGTCTTTAATATTTTCAATGTTTGTAGCCAGTAGATTTTTAAGCTTGTTTTTGCTATGAATCTCACTCCTCAGAGAAGTAAGGGTGACTGTGAACAACATCTTACAGAGGAGGCCAATCCATAACGTCATCGGAATCATCAAAGGCAGCATAGAGCCTGGTAAGTCCTTGCCTTTAGATTGCTGGTTTCAGTTATAGCTTCACATACACTGCTTCTGTGTCCATATTTCCATGCTTATGGATAATGAATTTTTCGACAATTGAGATTTTTGTTTGTTTGATATATCAAAATACTTAAGATTTCTTATAAAACCGTTTATTGGATCAACAGCAGGTTTTAAATCCTGTTTTGGTGTTGGGAGGGGGGGGGGGGGGTATCCTTCTTTTTTGGTTGCAGAATTTCAGTTGTTCCCTAATACTGGGTTTTACCACTATGAAAGCTGTCCACCCCAGTCATAATCAGTCGTAAAATGCAATATGCTATTTGGCACTACGAGGCTCGAAAGGCTGAAAAGTGACTTTCCATGGGTTTTTTTTCAGGATCTATTGAAAGTTTAATGTCTTCTGCTTCATTTAAGATAAAAATTAACAACTATAGTCGACTATAAATATTTTATTTTGATTTATTTTGAAGGTGTGTGTATGTGGTCTGTTGTGAGCTTGGGTGACAAGATAAAGGTATTTGGACCTCAAACCTTTTCTAACACTTGATCTGCTGGTGTGTAGCTGTGAGATTATTTACAGAACCATTACCTCATGCCACATTGCTTCAACGTCCTTCATTCGCCCCTATTTTTAGATTTAGACCCCTTTTCGAGTATGAATGGTCTGAAATATAAACAACTTAACTTCACTATGAATGACTCATGAGGGCTCTAATTGGTTAAACGAGGTAAGAACAGTAACTCCTAGCCCACTTCAAGCTTGTTTACATAAACATGAGTTGACTGTATAAGCGTGCCCTGCTAGCTCAGTTATTGGCAGCTGATCTTTCAGTTTTACACTTCGATTGACTTAAAAATTTCATTTTTTATTGTTTTAGTGGGTTTTTTAAAGATTGATCTTCCTCTAGATCTCCCAAGGTGGACTCCTTACCAAGAGGTCACGGAGGCGGTCTAAGTGCATGTGTGTGTGTATGTTTGTGGATGTGTGTGTGTTTGTGTATATTTGTGAGTGCATGTGTGTGTGTGTGTGTGTGTGTGTGTGTGTGTGTGTGTGTGTATGTGTGTGTATGCTCATGTATTAATAGTGCTATTGCAAACATATAATTAGGAAGTGTAAACACGGCAGGTAAGCCGATTCGCGGACTTCCGAGCTCGTGGTTTCGGTGCAGTCGAGGTAATTCAGATCGCTTTTTATTTGCTCTTTCACTATAACACACTTAATGCTGTACGCCTTGAAAAGTTAAGCTTTTTTTCATTTTATGTGTAATTTGTTTATTTTTCTGAGTATTTGGAGAATTGCAATGGAAAGCAAAGTCCCTCGCGGTCAGAATGCGAGATCTGCCGGTTAAAAAATTGACACCCATGCATTCGAATGCTTTGAAGAAAGAGTGATGGTTAAGTACCATCTTTTCATTGGCCAACAACTTCTTAAGAGTTTTGGACGGGTCTTCCCGTGATTATATTTTTGGCCTTTGGCGTTTAAACAGAAAGCCTTTAAAAAAGCGTAAAGTTTTCAAAGATCATTTTTAACACGAATTATATAAAATACCGACCAAAAAAAGTACCAATAGAAAGAACAGTTCTTATTCTATTAGAATAAAGTCTTCGGCTTGGAATTATTTTGCATCAATCCTTTTGCGAACCTCCGCGGAGCACTCAGTACACTACAGTTAGAGCCAACTCGCTCGGCGCGGGGAAATAACGACAGATCATCGTGTTTGAGGCAATGAAATACTGATTTGTAATGATGTCTCAGTCTTGAAAAACATTAGGCTCCATTTCTATCTTATATAGTGATTGTACTCAATTAATGTGGAGATGTTAGGTGCTCTTGGTACTCTTTTATTATCTGCCAAACATGGGGTTGCTGCCAGTTAGCGAATTTAGCGATATTCGATAATATATAAAATTTAAACAGCTACCATTTTCTTAAAAATTGACCGAGAGGTAAGAGTATGGTACCAAAATTCACAGGAGACACAAGCCTTTCCTATGGAGCAGATAAATTTGACATATACAGCTACTTTGAAAGTTTAGTTTTTGGTACTCGTTGTTGCATTTGGCGTGAAGACCATTCTCGTTAAATTTTGTTTTTTCCATAAATAAGCTTCTTTTCTATGAATGAATAGTTTTTTTTACTTCTGTTTGTTACCTTGTTGTGGCATAACCAAGATGACTGCCAAATTTCAAGTCTCTATCTCAATTCTAAGACCCCCGATGCCTTAAAAATATGTTGCTCAACTTCGGAGCCCGTTTTCTCCTTTTCATGTTTCCACACCTTCCATACTTAAAAGTTCCATATTTTCGTCAAATATTGTCGTATTTACTTCCTTTTTTTCCAAATTGTAGTGAAGTAGCAATAGTCTTTGGACATTATGTTAAGTAAATTTTTTAATTTCCTTCATATGACTGATTTTGATCGGGAGAGACACTAATGGTCTTTGCTTACAGACAGGTTCATCTTACTTGGTGGTCACCACGACTCATGGACTTATGGAGCTGTTGACCCACACTCTGCAAGTGCTGTTTTATCTCAGATTGTCCATCTGTTTGGGCAGTTGTTACAGTCAGGTAAAAATTGTGTTCTCTTAATTGAATCTTAAATTTTACTTAAGTGAGGGAAACACTGTATCAATGATTAACTCTTTTTCTACAAGGCCAAAATCCACCGCTGGCCCAGGGCTTTTTCCGGACCTATTTTTACGCCCCTACTCCACCAAAGGAAAATGTCAAAATACCTAACTGAACTCACACAAACCATATCATATGGCCCATCAAACTGAAGGTTAAAAAGTAATCCATCAGAAGGTGATACAATATTGAAGATTTATTCCAATTATATTAGCATGGGTTTCTAAAAGTGATTATGCAATATCAAAGGTGTCATATGAAATCAACAATTTTCCAGCTTTGAAAGGTCACATCTAAAAAGTACAACAGCATTTCAAACTTCCCAGGTAGGTGGCCTCAAGTAATGGAAAGAAATGCTGAAAGTTATGTATGAGTACCTATTATGGAAGTGAAAATATTAGACATATACTGAAGTCAGGGGAGCACTTTTCTTTTCATTTTTATGCTTCAAAGGGGACAGAAAAATGCGCTGAAATGATAAAAAATCATCTCTCATAGCTATCTTTTTTTTCATATCTGCTAGACACGTGGATCAGCCGAGAATGTTGTGTCTTTTCATTATGGATTGGAATAGATAGCGAGCCACTCAAGCCGTATTTTGCGGCTCGCGGTAGGAAAAGTGTTAAGTAGATGGGATATCATCTCATCATTATCATATGCCTGCCTCACCAAAAAATACATGTATATTTAATTTTTTTTTCTTTTTTTCTTTCATGGCAAACTTTCCTTACTTTATTTTCCTTACTCAACACTGTTTACAGCAAGGTGAGATTTTGGAGTGTTATATAAGATTTAGACATTTTATGTTTAGTACATAGGCATACTCTATGCCATTTAAAAAATGAAAGGCCCGAAGAATGTAGATATCATGTAAGTTACACTTTTGATTCCAAGTTGAACAAGAAAAAAACAAACAATGTCATCAAATGCATTCAAGGGCTCGATGACTGTTTTTTTTTCTCAAGGACATCGCCCAAGACGCACTTTGGTGTTTTGCAGTTGGGATGCCAAAGAACCTGCCATTATTGGCTCAACAGAATGGGTGGAGGTAAAGCATTATCATCATTGTGAAGTGCCAGATCTGAAATAGAGCATAGTGATCATAGTTTGCCATTCATTTCTTTGCTGGAACGCTTTCAAAAACTATATATAATATGCTGGTTTTTCTCCGTCACCCATCTGTTCAGGTTCTCTAAATAAGTTTTTCTTGGTTTATCCCTGCCTCTCTTTTTCCAGTGATAGGAAGATGTTCCAGGCTTTTATGTCACTTCGTTTCATATGTCCCAGTACTTGTCTCCTAATTGCTTTTATTCATGAACATCCCAGACAGGCTGTTATTTCAGCACAACCCCTTTTGATTTTTTTTCCTTCTTTGAAATTCTCAGAAGTCTCATAAAAAACCCCCACATTTCTATAGCTTCTAGCTCTAGTTCATTTTTGGTAACTGTCTTGTATTCACAGCCAAGTGAAAGGGTTGATGTGGTAGCACGTTTCTTTTTGATCCCCAAAAATATTGCTTTCTTTTTAATTTTTACCACGAAGGAGCAACAGTTTGATTGTATTACACAATACCTTTTTGATGACCGTTATGGCTTTTGAAAACTTAATTGACAAGAATAACCATAATCTTAAAGTATTATTTTTAAAAGCCTGGGAAGGTGTATTGGTTTGGCTGAATCACTTTCCCCTAGACATTTTGATTTAATACATGACATCCTTGATGCACACCTCAAGAATCAAATGGATTAAGTCATTCGTTATGTAGAGCAATGAAAGTATCATTGATTGTAAGTGTACCAGGAAAAATATGAAAGCGGAACTTGGGACTTTGACTGGTTCAGGGGTTGACGGCTCAAGGTCGATTGGTCCGCTATTAGTCTAATTACTTAGTTGATGATCTATTTTTCTCAAAGCACTAAGTACCTTTTGCCTTTGAAGCAGCTATACAATGCCTATTTTTAAAGATGCATTTAGCATTTGAAGACAGACATAGTTGCTGCGGTATTTTAGTTTTTAATTTGGCAATGCTAGCCAATGAAAGTCGGCGTTTTGTTATTCTACTCTTGACTACTAGGCCATTCTTTAATGTTCACTATCATATGTGCTCAGCCTTTTGAGTGTTTCTTTTTCATTATAGAATAAAGACTTTGTACAAGATACTAAGATCATGTCTACTCCAAGGTCAAGGATGGGGAAAAAAACTTGAGAAAAGGCTCAAGTTTTCCTCTGACCCTGCTCACATTCCCTCAGATTTGAGCTTGCAGGTGAACTGTTCTCCTAGTGTGGTAACTTTTTCTAATCAGTGTCCTTCATCTTTTCAGGAGAATGAGAAACTGCTGTCAGAGAGAGCAGTGGCATACCTCAACGCAGACCTCATAGCAGGAGGACACTTTACTTTGTCTGTGAAAGCCAGTCCATTGTTGCAAGACGCTTTATTCACAGCAGCAAAGAGGGTACGATGTATGACGTGTTTTGATGTCTTTGTCTCCAAACTTGTCACTCACTGAAGAGAAATGTTATTTATAATCACAAATATTATTTGAGCTTCCTAGAGATTTGATTTTCTCTAATAATACTGCTGAAATTAAAATTATGCTATATGAAAAACTGATGGATTTGTCTAGGGAAGTGTACTTTAAAAATCAAGGTGAAAAGTTTTCTTTTTAGTTGTTTTAAAGAATATTCTATTAGCTTATCTTATAGAGACAATGATTTCATGATGTTGTGGCTTTGGGTAAAACTGTATGGGCTGCTCATTTTACCAGGGAGATGAAGGGAGGGGGGGGGGGATGAGAGGAACGAGGGAGAGGGAATGAGAGAAGGAAAGAGAGAGCGGGAATGAAAGAGAGAGCGGGAATGAAAGAGAGAGCGGGAATGAAAGAGAGAGAGGGAGGGAGAGAGAGAGAGAGAGAGAGAGAGAGAGAGAGAGAGAGAGAGAGAGAGAGAGAGAGAGAGAGAGAGAGAGAGAGAGAGAGAGAGAGAGAGAGAGAATAAGAACTGGGAATATTCGTTGTATTTGCACACTATGGCTAGCTACTTACAAGAACAATCACTTTTGTAACTGTAGTTAGCATGTCAAAGAACTTTAATAAACAACGTTGCTCTGTTGTAATTGCCACCTTGTCAACAAGTTTGATATTCTTTTCTTTCTTCAAAATTCATACTTTATTTATCGTTCAGGTACCAAGCCATGTGGAGAACTATAAGACACTGTATGATTTATGGGCAGCACGGCCGAATGACGAAAGTTGGAACTCTCAAGAGCCAAAGTATGTAGTCTCATTATTTTCTGTTCTTTCATCAAAATGCCTTTCACTAGGTTTATCATTTGCAAAGTCCACTTTCTGTAAGCAGTTTGACAGCAGCAAATGATAGACCTAGTCGTGTTATGAACAGATTTTTTTCTATTATGTAGCTTTCATATAGTTCTTTCTTACATCAATGTAAAGTGATTAAATGTACAGGGTGGGGAAACCATTTAATCATTCTATATACGGTGATTTTAATTTATAAATAAAATTCCATCATGAATATCTATTTTTGCTTTTATTTTCGCTTATCTGCTTCTACCTCATGTGAGAAAGTGCACCCAATGCCAAGTTGCAGAAAGTTAATAACTATTTTTCCTATTTTTATCTTTTGTGCCTTTTACTCATTCCATTTTCTAAATGACATTACAGAAGGCTACTTTTTATGGTTGTTTAATCACTAGTGTACCCTGTGTTTCCATGTGAACCTGTCACTCGTGAAGTTGGTCCTATCATCCATCATTCGTGTTCCTTTTGTACTGAAAGTAAGAAAAAAAATTTCTTTCCAACTCAGCAACTCGAGTCGATGCTGCTCACTACAAGGCTTGTCCATGCTGGCTTACGCATGCCTATAAGCATTTATTAGTTTCCTATAAGACATGAAAATAGAGATCTAGTTGCGTCCCTGAAATTAAGAATGAGGACCAAGAATCAAAACATGAAAATCTTGCATCCAATTTAATAACATTATTATATAACTTATTGTGTGATTAATAATTTCCATATTCTTGAAAGACCTAGTGGCTGATTGTATCTTTCTGTTTATTTTGCAGGGTTTCGTATGCTTTTGGTTCTGATGGTGACTATGTCTCATTTCATGAAAATGTTGGCATTTCGTCTGCTGACTTCAGTTTTACATATGAAAAGGTAATTTTTCAGAAATTGAAATGACCTTGTCCAAAAAGCTTTAGTTGCTTTTTGACAAATTCTGTACATACTGGCTCTTTATACTATTCAGTACGTGATTAGTATTTTGAGGCAGTGAAGAGGCCAACTCTTTTCTTAACAGTTAGGCCTACCTTAAAAGCATTCATCTTAAAATCATGTTAAAATCATTATTAGATGCTAATTCTGCTACAAGTGAAAGGCTGAGGGGTTACCTTTCATATCATAGTTTTAATGCTTGCAATACTGTGACACCAACCAATATTGAGACATCTGTATATTTTACACCTTGACTTCAAGTCAAAGTAAGCAAGCTGAAGTGACAATTGACAACGTTGAACACTGCTATGTGAAGATGTATTAATTTTTTTTTGTATCAGCAACTGTGCCTTAAGCATATAAGTCTGAAGCAAGATTAAATGTTCTTTAACTATATTTTGTTTTATATCTATTTCAGAAAAAGTTTCAAGGTGCAAACTATCCTTTGCACCACACTGCTTATGATACATACTATTTGTATAAACAATTTCAAGACCCTAATCTAGCCTGTATGGAAGCAGGGGCACGCTTCTGGGGCATTCTAGCAAAGTGAGTGTATTATGTCGTTGATGCTTCTGGTTTTATTCCCTTAAAGGTAAGCATATGTTTTTGCGCACTCAAGAAAAATACAGCACAGGTTTTAGTTACTCAGTAGGTGAAAATGATGTTTGTTAAAAGTAGTTTTTCACAGGAATGGTGAACATAGTTATGGCTGCATCAGGTTTTCTGCAAATTCAGATTGTGAAAATATAGTAAGAAAAGAACCAGAAGAATAAATGGTGGTCTGTAAATAATAGGGCATAATTTATATCTTTCTGTGTGAACATTCTGTGATTCCCTTTTTTCGTTACATTTAGTTACGTGTTTGAAGCGATGTCTAGAACCAGTAAGATCAAAATAGGTCATTTTAGGCGTGTTGAAGTTGAACTGATTTTTTTATGGTGAGTGTGCATGAAAGTGCTATTGTCTCTTCCTTGATTCAGCAACCTTGCCAATGCTCCATTGCTCCCACTGAGAGCGTCTCGGTTATCTTCAGCTGTGAGTGCTTTTCTGGATGCTTTGACTCTGGAGCTTCAAGACATGCTCGATACAGACAGCATTACACTTGGTGAGCTGTTATCTTAACTCGCTTGAGCTATTTTTTACCCACAGCTATTGCAGCCTGACAGTTTTGGGGTATATTGAATCTTTAACCACAAAAAGACTGTCAAAGCTATCAGAATTTTTTTTAATGCCACAAAAGAAAGAAAGAAGAATGCTCTCACAGAAAAAGAAAGCTGCATCATATTTGTCCAAATAGTTTATTTTATCAATATCTTAACATGGCAATGTCTGGAGCTTCGCATTTTGTTATTTTTAAAGTTTAAGTGAGTTAATACTTCCTGCACACTTTACATCAGCAGCTTTGATCCCCTCATATAAAAAGACACTGGCTACAGGAGGCTGCTTTCTCTTAACCACTCAGTTTTCAGTGTGTTCTGGGTTTTTCTGCAAATATCTGACAATGGGCGAGAGAAGCTCATAACTTCAGGAGTAGTTGGAAAATGTATACCAGTTAATTTTCCTTTACAGGACTATGCACAGCTAGAGTGGGGAAGTAAAGTTATAACTGCTAGAGAGGTGTTAACTCTTTGTCTCCTGCAAGCCGCTCCTAGCGGCTCAGTGTCGGAACTGCTGTGCCGGTGAGCCGCAGCGGCTCAGGCATATTCCTTTATGACGACTTCGACATCAAATTAGTTTTCGTCAATTGCTGAAAACAGGTCTCTTTTAATACTTTTATCGGGATATCATTCAAAAGATGAAAAACTATCAAAATAGGTTCACCTGTTTTGATTAAATGTGAGGTGTGCTGACAAAATGAGTTACTTCTCGGATTTCAGCCTTATGGAAATGGATACATCAACTTGATAGCTGAAGTTTGTACAATTTGTGAGCATGGAATAGTAAAAGACACAGTAAACTTGAACAAAATTTCATCAATTGAAAATTTATAAATCTGACCCCAGTGTCGGTTTTCAGCCGATATCTCCATTCTTGGATCGTGAGAAGTAACTCATTTTGTCAGCACATCTCACAAATAACTAATTTAGTAACGTTTTTGTTGTTTTTAGGTTTAGTTCCAAAAAGGGACCTCAGCAGATAAAGAGTTAGTGTAGCTCCTAACCATGTGGACGGAGTCTCTGAATTCTACCTCAATGCAGCTCTAAAAAATTTTCACTTCATAATGGAAGCTCACAGATTTGGTTTCCCACAGATTGTCTACGGTAATTAAGTAACTGTGTTATGACATGTTGAGTACTTGTTTATTTAACTTATTGATTAGAAAGCAAAGTGATAGTAAGAAACCACAATGTTCTTTTTCAGACGCTGTTATATCAGCAGTAAGGAATTTTTCAGATGCAACGTCTAAGTTGGAGCATGACATGAATGACAGTCCAGAACTGACAGCTAAGTGAGTTTCACTATTAGTTATATAATATATTACGTATTATGCACTAAAACAAATACACTATCACAATTATAACATGTGACCATTCTTCATCAGTGTGTGTGATTTTCTAATGCTGTGTACAATGGTCAGTTTGTCTTTTTTTGCGTAATTTGACTCACCCCCATTCTTGTCATGTTGTTGTACTGTATGGCTGAGCTCTGTCTGAGGGCATGCAAAAATGTGCGTGTGTGTATATGTGTGTATTTGTGTGTGTGTGAAATGAGAGAGAGTTTGAGAGAGAGAGAGAGAGAGAGAGAGAGAGAGAGAGAGAGAGAGAGAGACAGAGACAGAGAGAGAGACAGGAGAGAGATTTGTTAGTGCATATTTGGTTGTGATTAGTCTGACATCAGACAGCTATTCACTCTGTGTGTATGGATGTGTATTTATTTGTGAAAATTATGTGTTCATTCTGGGTGGGTTTTTTTTTTGCCTGTATCAAAAAGACCTCCCTACTTTTCTTGTTCTTTTTTCAGTCCTCTAATGCTGAGGAGATATAATGACAAGCTCATGCTGCTAGAGCGAGCTTTCACTCACATAAACATTTTGCCTGGAAAAGAATTTGTGTTCAGGTTAGTATATGTGCACCTGCAAAATAATCCAGAGGACTTTGAATAATTAGTTGTCTCTCTAATAGGAGGCATAATTGCCCTGCTTGTGGGATGTCATCCTTACTCATATGGCACAACCTCTATGTCCTAAGGGATTTCTTTTCACTGTGTGTTTTCAGTTTCTTTTCTCAAACTCTCTTTCAAGTCTTTACTTAAACAGAGTGTCAGGTCTAGGAATTAATACCCCCCCTCCTTCCCGAAAGCTCACTGTGCGAGGCTCACTTTCAAAATGATCTCCTTTTGTTAGATAGGAAATGTACTTTAATGAAACTAAACCTCAAATTGATGCCCATTTCCTGTAAAATTATAATAAAGCTGTAGTTCAGTCTTGTCTACTCAGTTTTCTAGTGTCCCTATCAATATTTCTTCCGTTGCTGTACTTTCCTTATAGGTAGTAAGAGTGAGCACAAACATTTTGTCACAGGAAAGTATTTAAGATAAAGGAACTCTTTCAGTCTGCATGAAAATAATGTTCAAACAAGTGTAATAAACAAGTCCTTTTTGGTAAGCACATCAAGTCATTCTTATAATTCTCAAAGCAGATATCAGTTGAAGTGATTACTTCTAGTTGTGTATCCACTCTGACCAAAGCTTAAATCAATGTCACCATTATTTAGCCTGCCAGTTCAATACAACGTACCACCCACTCCCCTATAGGACGTACAGCATTGCAGCCTCTAAGAGTTCAGAATATTTGTACCTGAAATGTGATTTATCTTTTCTTCCATTTTTGCTTAGTACGTCTTATGACTTTATACTTGAGGCTGCCTTTTTCCATTCTTTCAGCTGATCTTCGTCTTTAGTTTTCCTTTTTCTTATACTGGCTGGTATCCACATCACCTTCATTAGATTTAGAAATCTGATGTTTTCGATTCTTATTAAGGAGACATAGAATTGCTGAACCACAGTCAGTTCTCAAAGTGTAGGCTATCATTTTACCCCTTCAACTGTCATCAGATTAAGTTTTTGATAAAAGAGTATTGAGATTAATATTCAAATTGAAGACAGTTCCCACTGTCTATTTAGACTGTGCCAGAGACTGTTAATGTTTGCTGCTTCCATCAACTGACTGCATGGAGATGATTTTGAAGGTGGGCTGCTCCTGTCCTGTTTGTCAGGGCTGTCACAGCTGTGTGCATCCCAGCAAAAAAACAGGGACTTTTGATAAGAATATATTACCAGTGTGGGTACAGATCATGTCGTTTATACACAAGATAAAAAGTTTAGCCATTACAACACAGACAGTGGTAATTGTGGTGCAGTTTCAAGTACTAAAAAGTTTTTAAGATACTTAAAAAAAAACATGTATTGTCCTTGTAACTTCTTTTAAAAGAAAATATTATTTTTTGGGTTTCAGAGATGGAACACCTGGTCAAGACGTTTCTCCTGAAGACATCTACCTGTATGACATCTTAAATACTGTAACTGACATGACCCATGGGCCTGAACAGATTGAGCAATTGAAAGAGCAAATTTCTGTCATAGCGTTAAAGGTGCAGTCAGCAGCTGATAGTCTTTATGACATTGGTTTAATTAAGGAGAAATGAGTATAGAAGCGCTTCATTGTCTTGAATGAACATCTGTGATTACATTTTTTTTTAGAGCTTTGTCGCTCTGAGTAAAAAACATCACAAATATTGCGTATAACAGTTTATGAAGTATACATCATGAGCTGCTAGTACAGGGCAAGTGCTTCAAGCTTGTGCTGCATTTCCATCAAAACCTGTTTTATTTGACCATGAACTTTGAATTATGCCTACTTTTGGCTCCTTATACAATCAAAAGTAAAGCAAAAAGTTCATTGATTGCAATTTCAAGCATAATATGAATTGATAACACCAATGAATTTGACATGTATACTTGTACATTAACTGAAACTGCAATGCAAAAGTTATATGTATCAGAGTGGGGGTTTTTTGGTTTCTTTTTATAATTTGTGAACATTTTACTTCCCAAAAGCAACTCATGTGCCCCCATTCGTACATTAAAAATGATTTTGAGGTATGCAGAGCAGAAAGCAAACTGTTAAGCTCAACAGTGAGTTTCTAGAGGTTTTGTAATGCCACAGTGAAATATTGTATACTACAAGACTGGCCACTCTTAAATATGAAAAAAAAAGTCATCAATAATAACTCCAGTGGTAATGTCTATACTTTCACACATTGGGTACCATCTATGGAATAGTGTTTCTTGTTAACAAAGGCTAAGAGCACTTCTGTTAATGAAAAAACCCAAAATGTTTTCATTAGTGCCAGAGGCAACACCTACATTATTCGCATAGATTATTGAAGGCCTTTTTATTAGGCAGTGGACTGTCTTGTAATATTCTATTTTGTATTTTATATATATAGATTAGGAGAGGTAAAGCACAAAAACCTGTAGCTTGAATGGGCACAACAGTGTTATATAATATACCTTTCTCAGGATCTACTTGGTTGTGATTTTGTCTAACTTGTTTTACAATGAACCTTCTAGGGGAGATGAGGATGAAATTGCAAGCAGGTAACCTATTAAAATATCAAAGGCCATGTTCAATTTGTGGTGATGAATAAGTGCTCTTTGACATGGTCTGCTGCCAATCTGAAAGAAAACCATTAGTGAGTTGTTTCTACTAAAATGAATTGTAGGGGCCTACTGAACCAGCTGACTGATGAGTTTAGAGAGTCAGTTAATAGAGGGAATAATTTATTTTGTTTACAAAAGCCTTTCACCTTGAAAAGTATAATTATTATTTGTTGAATTGTATGCACTTCATCTCTCTTGTTCATGCATAGGTAAACTTTGTTGTTACCCATCTATGATTTGAAAGTAAAAAGTTACTGTTAAATGTTAGATGCATGAACTTTATGAAAAATATATTTTACTTGTGAATTCCTTTACTAGTTGTCATTTCCTCGTCTGTGTTTCCTTGTTTTTCTCTGTTCGCAGGCTGCACTCTTGAAACCATAGCATTTACAAGAATTATGCCTCAAACATAGAATTAATGGAAGCTTATATTCAAATTTGCGGTAGTTTATGTATGTCCATTTGTCACGCTACCAAAATTTGTTTCTCCAGTAATAATAAAGTGCTCTGTAGTGTCTCTTGTTATGACGTTGTAATAAGTATAAAGTTTTTCACTTTTGCTGAGTGTCTGTTCACTCCTAGATGGTGTTTTGTGATAGAAAACTTCATGTCATCCTTAGTGTAGTGCTTAGCACTTATTGTCCACTCTCTTTCAAAGTAGCAAGGAGACTGTAATACTTCCAGTCTTCAGATCTGTGATCAATCAAAGGAAAGGATTCCTCCTTTCTGGAGACTGAGACAATAGTCACAGTCACGTTTCTCCAGATGAGATCTGGAAATGTTAGAATACTGCAAGGCAAGGACTGGAAGAATTATACCACTGATCCCACCAAAAAGAAATTAGTTTTGAAATATTGTACATAAGTTTCCTTTTAATTTTAGGAACTACACATTCCATATATATATCTTATATATCAATTGAATGTCTACATATCATTCTTGGATAAAACTCTGCTGTGTCTCAATATTGTAGAGGCATATATTTCTATTTACAACAAGTCAACACATTCCTGTCCTCTTCAAAGCACTATGCAATTGCTGCATGTCACCTCAAATATCAGGGAGTCTATTTATAGCATACTAAAGAAAAAAAGTGTTAAAAATTGGTTTCATCTTTGTGATACGCTCAACTGTAAAAAAACAACCCCAAAACTTGTGTATTGTTTTTGTACTGTGTTTTTCTGTGCTTATTCAAACCATTATAATTTTAAAATCTTTTTGTTGATAACTATTCTAGTTGTTATGATTGTGTCTCTCTGCTCATATGAAAGAATGTTCTTACAAGGTCACAAACAGTTACAGTGGAATCCTGTTATAACGAGAGGGAGGGGACCGGTGCCAAATGTCCGTTATAGCAGGATTCATGTTATATGGGATCCAGTAATAAATTCAAGGGGAATAGTAGAGTAGGCCTAATCTATGAGTCTGGTTTTCTGTTTATTTCTTTTTGTAATCTCCCCTGATGATGATTTGGTTCAACGCGACCTTTAAGTCTTACTTGATCTAAAGTCGAATCAGGTTTCTTTCTCTAGCGCTAGGGATGTTGACACAGCTTGGTATTGGTGATCAGAAATAAAGTTCAGTAGGTTAATTTGCCCGCTGTGTTGTTCCCCCACCCCACTACACCCTGTGGTGCATTCCGTCTGCTTGCGCACAATGGGAACATACCACACTCCGCCCACGTCACACGTTCGCTCCGTCCATCACAGTACAGCACTATGACCTCTCCATCCCCGCATCGGAGAAGTGGGAGGCATAGTGGGCCTAGATAATCTAGACTAGGCTGGCCTATCACACGATGCGTTCTGCTTGTCTGCGCATGCCACACCCTCCCCACTCATTCGGTCCGGTCTTCATTGTTGGCACACGTTGGCTCTCCCATTCTTTGTTTCGCAAGATAACCAAGTTTCTCAACTGGCAAGGTTTTACATTTTTTTAAATGGCCTATGTGCTGGGAACAGCAGCAGATTCCGCTATAACCGACTCGCGTGTTAGTCTGATTGTGTTATGGCAATATTTTATTTACAAAGATAAAGAAGGGAAAAAAACGGGTTTTTAGAATAGTGTCTTTATAACAGACTTCTCGTTATTTCAGGACTCTTTATAAGTGGATTCCACTGTAGTAAATAATACGACACATTAAACTGTTTCCATCCTCCTCATTGATGAGTTCGTGTTCAGTATTTTAACATTCTTAGGCAATGTTGTGAAATCAGTTTTTTCACACCTTCTCGTAAGCAATTGTTTTTATCAATCCAGTAACTAATGAGCCTCTGTTTACTGTTGTGAATACATAATACATGTAGAATGTGCAAATCTGCTTCTGTTTCACTGTTTTATATTTGGAGTTGGAAACTTTCAGTTTTAACAGAAGAAAGCATCCTCTGGGGTTTTGTAGTTTTCTGCTGAGGAGGTGTTTCAGTATCCCTTGGCTATAACAGAGCTGCCGGGATCGATGTGATATGCCTGTTATTACTGAATCCTGTTGTAGATGTGGATCAGGTTTATATATACTCTATGTGATGATTATTAAATGTGATTGTTTTTATTAGATACTAACATATAAATTATATATTACCTACAACAGTTCAATAAATTCTTGCCCCTTTCTTTTCCAGTGATATATATTTTTTCTCATCTTTATAATCTTCCTTTTTCTAGTTTCTTTCATTCTTAGTATCATAGAGGTTGACTAGCCATAATTTAAGATGCACGGGTGACAATTATAATTCAATAATTGTATTTGTATGTAGCGCATATTTCTAGGTTGACTAGCCATAATTTAAGATGCACGGGTGACAATTATAATTCAATAATTGTATTTGTATGTAGCGCATATTTCTACAGCATGCTCTGTGCCTTTTACAATTATTCATAATCAAATACGAGTAGTTATCACAGTTAAGAAAAGGAACACACGTCCATCTGCGGTAGATCCAAGTGCCCAGTGCCTACTTTTCACCCAGTCCTATTATTCCCATTGCAAGTCACACTGCACAATGGGAAAAAATCATGACAATGTGGTGCCAGACCAAGGCCGTATTCTCACTGACCAGGTTTGCATGAACACCAAAAGGCATCCAGCTTTGCCCCTTCATCTCCTGGACATATAGTATGGCACATCATAAAATGTGTACACAACACGATCAACTTCTAAGGCTTACTGTGGGTCAAGCAAGTGCAATTTGAAAGGAAACATGCTAGACCTGTATTTATAGTACATTAGTTTTGGTGAGGGCGATGGAACTACCTCTTTTTGTTTGTTTGTTTTTGTAAAGTGTTTTACGGCGCTCAAAACTGCATGAGGTCATATGAGCGCGCGGGACACACCTAATATTTTCAGTTGGTAGGAAATTTCGAATTTTGCCCAGGTGGCGACCGAAGCCTACTCTTATCGATTTTAGACCACCAAGGGATCTTTAACGTGCGCAACTTGCACACGGGCCCTCCGAGATTTTTCGCCCTTGTCCGAGAAGGCTAGGTGTAGATCTTTCCTACCAGAAGATCAGGGGTGTGGCTGAAAGACAGCAGTAAGAAGAAGCGAAGGAGTAGCACTAGTAGCAGTAGAAAGGCTGCAGAAAGAATCAGGAGCCCAGAAGAAGGGGCAGAAAGAGGAGACGAAAGCAGACGACAGAACATAGCAGAGAGCAGGAAATTAGGTGAAAGGAGACAAATTTAGAGAAGAAAATTTTTCGGTCGCTACCCGGATTCGAACCCGGGACCTTTGAATGAGAGGCCAACACCTTAACCTCTAGGCCCTGAGAGTCCCCTGAACTACCTCTTCAAACATAGCAGATTACGATAACAGTCTGAAAAGTCTTGACACTCAATCCATATTCCATGATTACATAAAAGTTCTTTAAAATCAGGAAACAAGTTGTGGTTTGGCACAAGGTGTTCAATGATTTTCCAAGTAACTTTAGAGAAAGAAGTATCAACACACAGACAGACAGTGAGCCCAAAACCACACACACTGTTCTATACAAAAAATACAATGAAAACATTTTGTTTGATTTCAAAAGAGTAAGCTTTAAAACCATGTTTTATTACGCTGAAATGGCAGCCATCATAAAGACACTAAAAGTACAAAATACAATGAAAATCCACACAAATGTGAGCAATTAACAAATTGCTTCCTGCAAGGCAGCAGGAAGCAAATTCATTAAAAATTTGAAGGGAAAAAATATATAAATACATTTTAAGTTAAAATAGTAAAGTAAATGAAAAACTGTGAAGTCGATGAAAGCCCTAAGGCCGCTAAAACATCACAGGTAGTCCAATATGAAATGCACTGTCAAGCAATCTATAAATGTCAAAACAGCCTAAATTTTACAGAAAACATTAAACTGAAGTCCAAACTTTGGCAACACCCATTGTGTATACAGGTTAAATCATGCCCTGTGAATGGCAGACAGAAAGTGTCTCTCAGGAAAGATTTGAACATCCCTTGATTCTGAAAACAAACAAAACAAAGAGTCTTTTTTAAATAAAGGAATCCTTGTGACACTTAAACATGTTGTATGCACCTGTAAAAGAAAGGAACAAATCAAAGCTTTATACTTTCTTTTTCTTAACAACATTTTGTGTGTTTTTCCAACAGAGAAAAAAAAATAAATCTCACTGTAAAAGTACAGCTGGGTTGAGATGAGACTCATAATCGTGAGGTTGTGGGTTTGGGGGTTTGAGCCTCAGCCCGACGTTATGTCCTTGGAAAAGGCATTTGCACTGATTTCCCTCACTTCACCCAAGTGTGAACAGATACCCAGCCATAGACAGGGAAAGATCTTGTCAGTATGTTAGTGTTTCAATGCCTGTAAAATGGCAGCTTGCACTGAATGATTCCCAGGAAGTTGAGATTATTTCAGGATGCTATCAGGTCTGCTGGGGTAACAATATATAGATTGCAAGGTGCTGAGAGCTTGGTGTTGAGCGGGAATTAGCGCTATACAATGCTATCTATAATTGTTATTAAATAACAATGTCAAAGGATAGCTAGCTATTTATGTGACAATTTGCCATGATGTAACAAAACATCGATAAAAAGTCATATAATATGTCATACGATAGAAATATGCATAAAAGATGATAAAATAATATTGAAAGCACAAATAAAACTAAATACATTCAACAAATATAGAAAAAAAAAATGTCTTGCAAAGGCACTTTTGAAGGAGCACATCCACACATGTGATGATGATATAAACCAAGTTAAAATGGACAAGTTCGGATTTTTAAAAAGTATACCATTTAGCAACATCTACTTTCTCACTGGAACAATAAAAACATATTCATCACTGCAAATACCAAACTGAATATGAAAGTCATTTTGACAAGCTTTAATAATAAACAGCTTAAGTTGAAAAGAAGAAAAGAACTGAGACAAGAATGACCACAAGAGACAAAAATCATTTCAGATCGACAACCATGCAGCCAAAAAAGAACGAAACCAAAACCCAAAAATGAAAATCCCTGACATATAAAACCTGAACAAACAGCAAAAAAAAAAAATGTCTTGAGACATTTCATGTGTAAAAGTAAGAAAGTAAAAATTGTTTTTAAAAAAAAAGGAAAAAAAAAAAGAAAGAAAAAAAGAGGCAAAAAGCCATGAATATCTTTCATAATTAAATAGAAAAAATCCATTACTGATACCATGACTTGCAATGATAAAAGATAAGACTGCCAGGAAGTGCTGTAATGGCTTGTGGTGAATAATTTATTTCAAAGAGCCAGAAAATTAAATCTGTATGCTCAGTTGTAGTTAGTTACAAACTGTGAGGAGAGAGAAGTCGAATCATTGCATTAGGATACGGCGAAAATAATACGGCGACACATGATCACAAATGAACAATTGTGAAAAAAGTACCTACAGTTTTTGTCTATAAATACGTCTATTTTCAGTGTGATTTCCATACTAGAATTTGCTTGCCTATAATTTTAATAATAATTCACCTGATGAATCAGTCCATTTTGAAGAAAAATGTAAAGGAGTAATATAATTGAACTAGCTTAATTTATTGCCCACCATTCGAAGGTCTAAGATTTTAAGTTTTGGAGGATTCATGTTCATTTTTATCCATACAGCTTCTAACCTAT